AGTACATGTCACAAATTTGGCAACGTGTGTTTCGTGAGAACGCACATCAACGGGCAGAGAAAAACCACATTTACTTAGCCACGTTTGGGGTGCCACTACCCAGTAATGGCAACACAAACATGTTCCCCATTTTTACACATATTGCACACACTTTTGTACATGTTTGGCACACGTTCACGATACGCCCTGTTGTGAACATGGCCTAAAATTTGAACTAAAGCCCTGCTGTAAAATATTGCTAGGTGATAGTGGTAGGCATCCTCGGCACTCCAGTTTTTGGGAAGCTATAAGTCCCATGAGGCATTGCAAGACTCTGATAGCCACAGGCATGACTCCCTGAGGCAGAAGTATGATACGATTTGTAGTTTGAGCACAGCTGGGGTGCTGAGGTTGCTTACTCCTGCTCTAGTGTGTAGAGCCAGTTTTGCATCTAAAGACAGCATGGTGTACAACCTAAGCAGCACTTAGCGAAGTGTCTGTTCTATCTGCTGTTCCCTGTCAGAGAGTAAAAGCTGAACATGTTCCATTAATCAGCCGCGCTAAGTGGAGGTAATATTAGTGTTGGCAGGGCAGGCCGGCTCCAGTAAATACGGAGAAGGTTTCTTTTCATGGGTCACCTCCTTCCGTGTTCATTTACTCTTTTATTGTATTACACCAAATCTTGCCACGAGTTTGCAGAGATCTCCTCTGACTTTTGTCTATTCATCGTTTCTTTTCTTCTGTTGTATTTAGCTGTTTGCCTGGAGCGCAATAGGAAAAGTACTCAGGCAACCGACACTCCATTTACTTCAGGAATGCATTCATTTCCATATGAGGTTTTTATACTACAAGGCAGCAAACATCTGAGGTTGTGGAAGGTGGCACAGTAAAAGCCCATCTCCAGGCAAAGTGAAATCCATTATCCAATTTTTAAAACTAAGCCCATCTATTTATTTATTTATTTTTGAAACCGTAAAACCCATTTTTGCTTAAAAACATTTTGCCAGCTTGTGTCCTTTGCCAATGCCTCTGCCAGTCCCCTTGTGGTGATGTCATTGCTGAGGTGTTCAGGACTGGAGAGGACCATGCCACTGGCCAATATGTGTCTGCGTCACTCAAGCAACAAAATGGGCACCCAAAGAACAACCCTCTCACTCTGCAGTGCTCAGATACTGCATCTTGTGTCCTTTGCCAGGGCCTCTTCCAGTCCCCTCATGGTGAGCTCTTCAGCGACCTGGGAGGACCCCACCTTTGCACAGCCAATATGTATCTGCATCACCCAAGCAGCAACAGGCTTAGGAACGACCCTCCTGCTCTGCAGGGTTCAAGTGTGCCATCTTGTGTCCCTTGGCAATGCCTCTTTCAATTCCATTGTGGTGATCTCATCAGGTCAGTGAAGTGTTCAGGACCCGAGAGGACCCCACTGCTGCACAACAATTATTTGTCTGTGTCACCCAAGCATGAACGAGGGCACTCAAAGAACGACCCTCCTGCTCTGCAGTGCTCAAATGTGCCATCTTTTGTCCCTTTGCCGTGCCTCTTCCAGTCCCCTCTTGGTGATGTCATTACATTGCTGAGGTCTTCAGGACCGAAGAGGACCTACCAACTGGACAGCCAGTATGTGTCTGTCTCTCCCAAGCAACAACATGGCCACCCAAAGAATGACACTCCTGCTCTGCAGTGCTCAAATGCGCTATCTTTTGTCCCTTGCCTCTTACAGTCCCCTTGTGGTGATGTCATCATGTCACTGAGGCCTACAGGACCCGAGAGCACCCTGCCGGTGGACAGCCAGTATGTGTCTATGTCACCCAAGCAGCAATGAAGGCTCCCAAAGAACGACCCTCCCACTCTACAGTGCAGAAGAGAAAAGACTCGGGACCCAGCACTAGTGATGAGCAAATTGGCCTGGGTTTGGTGCATGTGAACCTAACCCAGAGCCACCTGTGTCCTAGCAACCAACATTGCTAGGATACAAGCAGCTGGACCAGACAATATGATTAGCTGCTAGGACGCAGATGGGTGCACCATAACAGCCAATGGCAATGTGGAGCCGCCAGCATCTTATATACCAATGGTTGCACAGATTATTTGGTTGCTAAGATGCTGGCGACCCCATAGAATCATAGGCTGTTATTATGTGCCCACCTACGTCCTAGTAACCAAGATGCTGTGCAGCTCAGCCACCAGTCAACCAATGACGCTGCGCGGGCCACACAGTGTCATTGGTTTCTAGGATACAGATGGAGGTTCAGCTGGTGGGAGAACTGGCCAAATCGAGGCTTATTGCTACCCAACATGTCATGTGACCAATGATTTAGGTAAGTAAAAGGGGCTTTTAGTAGTTTTTTTAATTATTAATAATGTTTAAATATTTAACAAAAATAAAATGTTGTCATTTAAAAAAAAAATTATAATTGTAACAAACATGACTATTTCTTTGTAGTCCTGTAAACCCACAATTATGAATTGTGACTGATTTCTGCCTAAAAATGCCTTAAAATACCCTTTCCTGGCAGTAAAAATGCTTTTTCTTGCCCTCACACTGCAGAGCTGAGTAGCAACCCTCAGCACAAGCGTCCCCACACTGCCATGTATTGCAGAATAGGGGAGGGGGCATTCCTGACCGGGTCTGTGTGAGTTAAATAGAGCAGTGGGGCTTTTCTGACACTTTGACTGCACAGTCATATTTAGACACCTTGCACAACTACTGGAACAGGAAAGCGGGGAAAATTAAGGAGGTTGTTTGTACAATGTCTATCTTTTTTTTTTTTTTCATTGTAAATCTTTGATTTGAGAAGAGAGATCTATAGTTTTTCCATAGTTTTATTTTACAAAAAAAATAAAAGAACAGCATGCGCAAAACACAACACAGTGGCTTACAACAAAAAGTTGAAATGCGGCCTTTGATTTACTCATTACAGACATATCATGCGAAGACTTCCAGCATAGCCGCAGAACGCAGCGTTTCAGTATACAGTGCAATTACATGGAAAGGATGTTACAATTCTGGATGAAAGAAACACACAATAAAAGATTCTAATTACAACTATAGAAATCACAATGGTCTGAGTTCTCGTTATTATACTAGTAGTAACACAAAGTTAGCATTAGGAGATACAGATCAACTATCTACCCCGGAAGACTATAATCTCCAAAGTCTGTTCACAATAAAAGCATAGTGGGGACATTAATCAGCCATTAACCAGCCTGCACACCAGATCTCTGTAGATTGAGGTGTAAAGGCTTCCCCCAGCTATGCGTTACCACCACTAGATGGAGCTAGAGGAGCATAGGAAGTTCCTATGCTCATCGGCACCATCTAGTGGCTGCAATTCTGTGCAAACTCCATTTACTCAGCGTGTAGCTGGGTACGGCAGATAGATGGTGCCGATGAGCATAGGAACTTCCTATGCCCCTCTATCTTATATACCAATGACTGCACAGATTCATTGGTTGCTAAGATGCTGGCGGCCCCTTAGAATTACAGTGGTGTTGATGAGTATAGAAAATTCTTATGCCCCTCTAGCTCCATCTAGTGGCGAAAATGCATTGCTGCAGAAAGCCTTTATACAACATTCCCTTAGCGTAGGATAGAATTAGTACAATGTCTATCAGACTGCATATAAATTTCTATGACATATAAGGGCTATAAAAAGTATGAAAACCCAAAACGGTTTTTTTTTAAGGATAAAATAGGGAAGGAGAAAATGCCATACCGTGTGTTTATTGCTGTGTGTCCCATCAGGACAGAAAGTGAAGGGAAATCCAAAATGTTAAACATTTTTCCAGAACAGTAGTAGAAGGGAATTATTCCAATGGTGACAATTGACAATTGGCAGAAATTTCCTCTCACTTGCTATTGTTCTACAGGACAGGAAGAGGAAGGACATTTCCCCACTGGGACACAGTCCGCAAATAAACCTGGCAGGAGTTTAATCCTTGGCTACTTTATACAAAATGTTTTAAATCATTGGTATTAGATCTACTTTAAAGGACAAGTCCACTTTTTGTGAGGTTGTATTTAAGTATACCCACCACCCCTCTCAGTGTAACTCACACTCTAAATTACTTACCTTCATCCCCTTCCAAGTTCTTCACCATGCAGCCATGTCTAATGAAGTCATGGGTCCTTCGTCTTTTTCTCTAGCTATGACATTGGGAAGTATTTAATGCTGCAGTGCCCCAGTCATAACATGTCAGTGCCATTTCATACAGTACCACCCTGGTTTAGATGAACGGTTGAACGAATGGCCATCAATCAACTTAGAACACAGGCGGCATCTAGTGGTGAAAAGACTTTACTGCAGGGGCATCTCTGAATGAAGATGAATATTGCAGCAAAATCTTTATTACAATTTAGAAATGCTGGACACTTGTATATTAAATTTTAAAAATGCAGTTGCATTTGAAGCATGGAGGCTGAGTGTGTCAAATGCAGATCGCCACCTGGTGGCGTGCAGGAGGTTTAGTGTTAATAATGCTCTCTGCAAAGTAAATTCTTTGCTGAAAGCTAACAGTGCCAACTAGCACTATAAATAATAGAGAAATCCATAACTATTGTGATATAAAGAAAGCTCTCCTGGAAAAGTGACTTGCAATTAATTTAATTCTTAAACCCACGCAGTATAAATTTAATCCACCCCTACAAACTGCATACAGTCATAACTTTCCTAATAGAGAGAGGGAGGGGGTATCCCAGTAATTATGGCACACACCAGCTGCCTCTTGTTACTTAGGGCATTCCCTTTGGAGACATTCACTAACACACTTCTCATCTGCCTTCCTATAATGATCCCACATCCAGCAGAGGAACACAGACAGATCAGGTGGGCAATGGAGAGCCCCTTTAAGGAGTCTTTTTCTTAGTGGAGTGCTGTGTGCCCTGTCCTGGGGGGTTGGAGGACCCCCATTGTGTTTGATTTGCAGCTGTGGCCCTGTGCTGGTGCATTGTGCTCTGTGAGGGGCAGGAAGAGTCTTTCAGCAGAGCCAGTCTCAGTGTCCTGCACTCAGGCTCGTCCTAGTCCTCCTCCACTAGCTGCATCCAGTGTACAGAGCCAAGCCTGACTTCTCAGCTAGGTGCCACATTCCCCAGCCATCACCACCATGGAGCCTCTGGATACTGAGCTCTGCACCCCCCCGGACCCCAGCATCATTCAGCCCTCCTGCAACGGACAGACAGCCACAGGACAGCCCCCCATGAGGAGCCTGGAGACCCCGATCCAGATGGACCAGCAGATGAAGATGAGTGAGAGTGGGCAGTTCAGCGATCTGGTGGAGAACATAGGTGGGTGAGTCCTCTTATTCAGCATACAGTTTTTTTCTGGGACCCCTCAGAGAAGTTTGGGGGGGGGTTTCAGCTGTCCAGTTAGTGTAAGTAGCTTGGGCTGCCCAAAGTGTCAGTAAGCTGTCATCATCTCTGTGTGTCCGCTATGGTGTGACAGTGACAATGTACCAGATCTCTAATGTGACGCCGGGATTGTTACATGGAGACAATGACACATTATATGACCTGCGATCCTGATTACAGAGTATCAGTCTCCTTAAATAGGGACCTGCAATTGTTCCATTGTACCAGCTGTGAGTTAATGTTAGTTACAATGTATCCGATCTAAAATGTGACCTGGGATAGAGACATTTATACAATATATGACCTGCGATTTTGATTCTAAAATAGGGAGCTGTGATTGTTACATTGTATCAGCTGTGATTTAATGTCAGCTCTAAAATGTGATCTGGGATAGGGACATATTATACGACCTGCGATCATGATTTCAGTGTATCAGTCCTATAATAAGAACCTGCAATTGTTCCATTGTATCAGCTGTAATCTGACTTGAGTTACAATGTATCAGCTCTAAATTGTAACCTGGGAGAGACATTTCTACAATATATGACCTGCGATCATGATTACAGTGTTTCAGTCCTATAATAAGAACTTGCAATTATTTTATTATTTTATTACATCAGCAGTGATCTAATGCCAGTTACAATGTATCAGATATAAAATAGGACCTGGGATAGATGCATATTATATGACCTGCGACCATGATTGCACTGTATCGGTCCTTCCATAAGGATCTGCAATTGTTACATTGTGATCTGACAGGAGTTACACTATCTTAGCACGATAATGTGACATTGAATTACAGTGTATCAGCCTTGTTATCTGACAGCCGGGACAGCTACAATGTATCAGTATTATAATGTGACCTGTGATTGTTGCATGGAGACATTGCATACAATCTAGGACTTGCAATCAGGACTACAATGTTCTGAGCTGTGATTGTTACATTGTATCAATTATTGTCGCATATTAGTTATAATTAGGATCAATTCACAAAGCTAACACACCAGGATCAGGATGTATATCTACATATATACAGCAAATGGCTAGAATAATGATCTTTATTTTGATCCTGAACTATATCAGCCCTGTAATGTGACATGGTATTGTCACATCCCCTCTACTATCTTACCTGACCTGACAGTAACAACATTCACAAAGCTAGAACACCAGGACAAGGATCTTTTTTTAAATTTTTTTTAAAGTGTCAGTTATTTTCAACCAATTGAAAATGAGTCCAATTATATTTAAAAATTACAGTCACGTGGCTAAAATAAAGATCCTTGTCCTTGTAAATTGAGTGGAGATCAATTCTATAAGGTGACCAGTAATTGTTACAGGGGCTAATTTATACAAGACATGACCTGCTGTCAATGCATGGATTTTATATTATATGACCTGCAACTGTTACATTGCATGAGCTTTACTATCTGACCTCTGGTCCTATCATAGGATGTAAGGTTACGTATAAACAGAATGGTGGTCTTAAGAATTGTGCGATTTTAGATCGCTTTGTCTATTCATCAGATGAGGGACGCGGAATTTTTTAAACTGAAAAAAATGAATCTGTGAAATTGGAACTTGAATATTTTTATGTGGCAAATATGTGTTTTGCCATCTTGAGGTTATCAAGCGAACACACACACAACACGCATGCGCATTTCCTGTACATGGAATCATGGTTTGTGTTGTGTGTATTTTTTTATGGGGGGAAGGGGGGGGGGGGGGGGGGGACACAGCTGAAAGGGTCGAGGCTCACCTGCACACGGCTCC